GCCTGATCAAGCAAACCAAATCAAGCACAAACAACTTTATTCACTTAGCTTAGTCTACGAAACAAATCACGCGCGAACAATGAAAAGTACTTCAATGTTTACGATCACTCAACTTGAACTAAAACTGAAAGTTTAAAAATCTCCAAGAAAGGTAGCATCAAATTAAGTTTTCCACTAAACAATAAAATATCAATAGCATAAAAATAGCATCGATCAAGTTGTTTGGCTTTCGATTGTTAACACTTTTGACATGACTTAGTGTGCCATTTACTAAACGGTCAATTAAAAATTCCAAAACCTACAGAAAAAAAGTTTAACATATTACAAATAATTTGTATCACACATATACAGTTCTCAGTTCTAAATGTCTTAGGTTCCCACAGCAAATGCCAGCTACAGCATACATTCTTTCTTGATAGTTCTTTGTATCTGTTGACTGAAATAAATAAATAAATAAATAAATAAATAAATAAAGGAATAAGCACGGGAATCCAAACGACCGGAAATGGCCTGACCCTTCTTGTAACGTCATGGATATGTTGACAATTTTATTAAATGCCGTCAACAACGAAAAAAATACGCCTGGTCAGGTGTTTTAAGCCAGACATGATATGCAAATTTAATGGCGCCTAAAGCAGAAACAAAACACTAGAAAGTTATTAAACTAAAAAGCGCGAAATGTTCACGTTTCCATCTATAGGTTTGACATTTGAAATAAAATAATGCAATAAAAACTTACCTTATTAGAGCCTTTCTTCATGTTCTTGAGCTCTCTTCTCGGGCCTATCATCATTTTCTTCAGGCAACTTAGCCGCGGGGTTATTACGATCGTCCCGTTCGTCTTTCACTTCTTTCATCTCCTTATGTCCTCCTCTTAGCTGAGATCCTTCACTCTCCAAAAATTTAAGGAAAAGCCATGCCACGATAACTCCGCTTATGGCACCGCATACTAAACTAATAAGAAGCTCCTTTGGGGACATTTTATCAAGTTCGTCGGATACCGATGCAAGTCGATTTGAACTCAAGACTTTCACTACAATTTATCCAGTACCAGACTGAAAAGAACCTGTGTTGCTCTAGTGAAGTCAACAAGACCGACAGCCAATAAAAACCGTCGATTTGTTGTATTAACGTCAGTAAGAAAACGAAACCAATGATATTTGGCGAAACCACATTCCATTGTTTTATGTACTTGTTTTGATATTTTAGAGACAAAGGAAATTAATAAAGGAATAAATTAATAAATCAACCAAGGAATTATTAGAGAAGAACGCGCACAACTTGGAGCACTCCAGTTCCAAGTTGCGCGCACAACTTGGAGCACTCCAGTTCCAAGTTGTGCGCTCAACTTGGGACACTCCAGTTCCAAGTTGTGCGCACAACTTGGAACAAGAGTGTTCGAAGTTGTTCTTAATTGGTCACGGTAAAGAGTTTCTAAAGCTAGCTCGTCCTATATTCTTAATGTATTACCAAATTTGAAGCCAGTTTATTTTTCTGCTGGAAGTTGATAATGTTAGAGCTATGCTGCAATTTTAGAGCATACAGGTCTTAACTCAGATATTGATTTGATTCTCGTTCTATGAGTTATTTTGTTATTGTCTTCATCCTTTTCCTTTGAGAATAATATTCTCTCTCCTTATGTGATCGGTTACGCCTGTCCGTTAATATGCGTCGTTGATATGCTCTTCCAAAGTAGCGGTTTAGTTTTGCTCTCGGCGATAATACCATTTTTTCTATTTTTGACATGAAGATATTGGCAAAAGCCTCCGCCGTTGTATCTCGCTTCATTCCTCAAAATTAGTGCGGATCGGTCTTTTGACTACGAGTAGAGTTGCTTAGACTAAGATTAATACAAGTCAAACAGGTCTGTTAATTATAGTGACACGAACTGTAGCTTTTAGTTCAAAATGCGTTTCAACGAAAGGAAGTCAATTGTAAATCAAACAATAAAAAAAAATTACAATGAGATTCTGGCAAGTATTACACTCCCTGCTGCAGGATGTGCAAAGTTGTGCTTATTTAGCAAAATGTCAAGACGAAAATGGCGTCATTACGGTTATTCGAGATTCTAAATTTCTCCTTGGGTGTCAACCTTTTTAAAAACTCTCTGCAGTGATTAAAATGTTACTCTAGGAAACCACATCGCCATCTGTTGTATTAGGAGGGGATTCCCCCGTTGGATGTCGTTTGAATAATTGTCTATTGCTTTAAATGTCACGCTATTCTTGGCTTTGTCTCGAGTTTCCTTTACAACTATGTGAATGTCTTTTACATACCCGTTTTAGATGTTCTATTTTGGTAAAGTGAACGAGATCGTCAGGATCAGAATTATATTTGAAGAATTCATTAAAAAATCATAGGAGTCCGTCACCATTTTCCTTTCCCTAAAACGTTAATTTATTTCGCCTGGTCAAGGAAAATGTACCGAGCGTGAGGAATATCATTCACTTTGCCTGATCAAGCAAACCAAATCAAACACGAACAATTAACGAGGCAAACAACTGAGGGGCAGAGCTTCCAGCCGCCATAAAAGTCGCACCAGCAACATCAGAGCCCATGTGAAGCTTGTTCGTGATCTGTTCCAGCGAGGGAACGAAGTAATCGTCGCATACGTACTAGGGCCAGTGCTTCAAACTTATAAATGGCCAGTACAAAATTAATTACAACAACCCCTTGCTTCTGTCGCTGATACTGGGTCATATAATCGTCTGGAAAGTCGTCTATGGAGGGTTTGACGCAATTTTGTGATGACGCCGAGGTTGTTTCTAATTGCACTCTTCGAGTTGTTTTGGTTGCATCAAATTCGACCGAGCGGGACCACGGTGATTTGAATTGATTTCTTCCGTTGTAAACGATGTTATTGACTTATAAAGTAGACTTGGGTACATGAAGCAAGCGAAAAGAACTAGAATTGCAAATCGATTTAAGACTTTATTTCCTCGCTTCATTTTGGACGCGTAAATCGAGTGCAGAGCGAACTGAAAATCTTACAAGTTTACTGATGTTAGTGCCCAGTAACGTTCAACCAGTAAGAGATGTAAAATTTAACAGGGTTGGAGTGCGGATTGTCAGTCTCCAGCCATACCATAATTTTTGTCACGCAGCTGTTATAGAGAAAGTTCGTTTTCGTTACTCACGTCACTTGCCGAATCTTTTACGTAAAATAAAACTCTGTGGTTATCGCAAAGGATACAATGATTTAATGTATCCAACAATAATTATGCTCTATGAAACGAATGTTACACATTAATTAATTCGCAAATTTCGCTTGATAAAAAAAATTGCAAAAATAAGCTGACGTGAATGACAAGTGTCATATGAAAATATGATTACTCGAAATTCTTGTTGAGGCTGTGTTTCATGCATTCCACAAAAGTGTAAATTAAACAATTCTCATTATTTTTCTAATTCCAATGATTTTCTCAGTTTATTTTCTTTCGTTTTCTCGTGAACAGGAAAGTAATAAGTCATTTGCGGGTTTTCCTTGTGCAGTTCGGATTCTGTTCGTCCTTTATCCTGCTTTCCCTGCAAACCTTTCCTATTTGTCATTTGTCAACCACTCTCTAAATCAATTATAAGACCCCACACCCCTCCCCCCAAAGGTTCATGGAATCAAGTAACTAGGGCAAAATAGATAAAACTGAAGTCATCAAGGAAAGCGAGACCTATTGTTAATGATATTATAATGTCAAAATATCTCCATTTCATTTTGTACTCTGTATTACATTGAGTACTTTATAATTATGTCATTACCTATACGGGTTTTTCCAACATGCATGTCTTGATAAAAGCAACATTATAACAAAACACACAATCCTGTCAAGCGTAGAGTTCTATCTTAAACCTTAAAATTAGATCGTGACCTATGAGCAAGATTTATATTTTAAAGTTTATTCGATACAAGTCGATTCGATACATCGACAAAGCCGATTCGATACATGGGCTGCGTAGGTTACGTAACTGCTCTTACTGAAGTTATATCGAAACGACTGTAAACCTATAGAAGACTTGGTGCTTTCTATGCTTCATTCTTCAGTTCTAAGTAAACGGCATCTTACAAGGTTGATTCGAAGACTCTTTAAATCTTCCATGCACAATAATTAACAGAAGTGTGCTAGTCCATAATGCTATGAGCACTGAAGTTGTAAGTGACATTAAAGTATGTCTTTTCCATCTTCTTTGCCAAACAGCCATAACAGCCATATTCTGATAGTGAGTCTCGATCGCGAGGGATACGCTGGTGAAAAACCACTCAATCACCAACTGAAGACAAGTTGTTAGAGCAAAAGGCTTCAACACTTCTAATAGAGAGGTGTTTTGAAGGAAATTGAACTTATACAAATACAAACAGCCGTTGACGGAAACTATAGCAGTTGATTCAAACAGCATGCTCATAATAGTTATATCAGCCATTAGCCTCTCACGACGAGGAGTGCGAAAACTTCCCCAAGGAGTTGTAAAAGCTCGCAATTTCTCTTCTCAGAATCAAGGCTGTAACTTTCAGTAATTTTTTAAGCCGCAAAATTTGAGGAATGAGACATTTCTCTACTTTTCCTTTTACTCTTTTGTTTTCATTTCACATGCAATGTTTGTCGTGTGATCAGCTATACAGGGTTGTTTGTATTGTTTGATATCAGCAAGACAATACCACAGGAGTATGCTTATGTATAATTTTAGGGAGTTTCAATTCGTTTAAAACCAAATGACAGAGGTTCTAAACACGAAACCTATTCTTTGGGGAGAAGGTAATTTCAAGAAGATTTGGCATAGGGAGAGTGCGGCATCCTTTTCAAAACCGCCTTACCTTCCCTCCACAGACGTGATCCTAAAATCCAGAGCGTAATCATGCCGGACACTCCACTCGACTTCTTGGTTCAGAACTCAGCTGTAACATCGACAGCAACGAATCTTAAGCCACAGGATAACAAGTATAATGGCTGCTTTTAATTAGTGAGATGCGAACGTGTACAAATTTCAGAAGCAATAATTTCACAGCGGGTTGCATAATCAGTCACAATTTCTGTTCCTACATAATTTCTGCTCCTTTCTCTCCACACACCATTCAAGACACCGAGTTCAGGTGAAATTTTAGAACTAAACTGGTAAAATCGATACCCTGTTTGACAAAATAATTCTGTTAACAACCACACCTTAAAGAACTGTGCATGCCACCACTTAGCTAGAAGAACCTTAAATCTTGGAGTGACGTTACTTACAAAAATAATTTTAAACCGCTGCAGGGTGCCTTTTGGCTGACCAAAAGGCGTGCCAGTCATCATCACGGTTTCACAGACTCAACTCAAGATTTTATTCGCCCGCTTTCGTTATATATTTCACAAATGAAGCTTATTTCACTACCTGTCCTAGAAGCATGCAGTCGAGAATAGAAAACTGACGAAAAACAAAACAAAAATGCATCTACAAAGTATCCTATTTTGAGGAAGCAAAGGTGGTAATCATATACCAATTTAACTAAACGGCATTTTACAAGTCTTATTTGACGAATCTTCAGCAAAGCGCTGATGGACAATCGTTAAAAGGTTTGTACTGGTCCAATTTGCTATAGATACTGATGTAATAATCGCCAGAACTATATGTCTTTTCCATCGTCTTCGCCATATGGCCATGATAGGCATATTCTGATAGCGGGTAGCGATCATAATCGACAGGGTGATAAAGAAACACTCGATCGCCAGTGGAACAGAAGTGAAAATGGCAAAATACTTGAGTAAATTTACAAAGCTTTCGTTTTGTAAGTATATCATTTGATACAAGTATAAAACACCGTTTACAGACACTATAGCAATTGATTCATACAACATGCTCATGATGGCGATATCAGCCATTAGTCTCTCACGGCGAGGAGTGCGAAAACCTCCCCAAGGAGTTGATCCTCTTTTCAGGATCGCATGGCAGAGATGATCAATTGCAACCATGGTGCTTCGTTCTATGACCTCTGCAGCGCCGTGAATAATCCCAATAATAGCGATGGACTTTAAGCTATCTAGTTCCGCTTGTAAAATGCGGAACATAACCGCCGAAGCGCAATACAACGGCGCCAGCAAGACATACGAATATCCCGGATGAGTAATGTTGCATAAGCGCTGAACAAAAATTCGTGAGATGACTTCGAGTACGACTCCAATGAGAGGAGCAAATAGAGCGATTAGTAATTTCCCTTCATTGTCTTGTTTATTGTAAGCTGGATAAATCAACGATGCCACTGGAATGGCTAGAAACAAACAAAAATAAGCAGGTACTATCAGTTGAAGGAACAAAATCAGCTGTCCTTTCTTCGTTGTAGGGCGGAAATGTTTAGTCAATAAATATGCCTGGACGCAATAGTTCATGACGAACAAAATATTTAAAGGAATCTTCTGCACTGAGGATAGATTGGAATGAGATATATTCAGGACTTGAAGACCCAAGCGATAAAGGGAATCCAAGCAGTACGTCACACAACAGACTAAAAATAGTTTTCTTTTCACTCCTTTTAACTGATACGGACGGAAAAGAAATAGCAAATACGCCAAGAACCAAATGTAAAGGAAGGCACAGGCAATGATATCCGAGATCGATCTCATCCACTGTATTCTTATTGGAATAGACTCCTTTGGGTAGAATTGGCAGTAGTTTACAGTCTCGTAACATATGTACGATGTCAGTATGAACACTGAACCTACAAAGGTAGCCGTTAAAAACGAAATCAAAGATCCAATGTACATTGATTGACAAACTGAAAGGAGAACGGATGGTCTGAGTCGCTTCCAAGCCATTGCATCATCTTCCTCTGTTTGATTTTCTGGTACTTCTGGGTTCTCTACTGAAGAGGCGTCGATAAGCCTTGCACAAACATCGCTGGAAGGTAGATAGTCCTGAGCCGTGGCTTTTCTGTAGCTGTATTGTTGATAAATGACCTCGTCGACAGGATGGTGAAACCACTCGCGTCCATTGTTTAATAGAGGATCAAAAACCCGCGCCGTAATTTCAGGTTCCTCTGGGTTGCAATGCTCTGTTACACCGCGTGTAAAACTGTACACGATACGGCCAAAAGCCTCAGCTATGAGTGTAACGCTGGACATTTGAGATATGCTCAAAAGAGAGGTTTAAAATCCTTGTACTGCGATAGGTGACTGTAATATTGACATTAGTATAAATTTGGAAACCGAAATATTCTTCAAAATTATCTTTCAGCTCGAATTTCGTTAATCATGTATAGCGCTGATAATATAATATTTATTATCGGGTTCGAAACGACTGGCTGTTGTATCAGCTTTGATACTGCTTTACGTCAGAAGGGAATTACTGCGCATTAGGCGGATATTCATCCACAATTTTTCGATACGTGAAGACCAATTCAGAATAAAGATCTCAAGCATGTACGTTATGCTTGGATGTTTGAGGGTAGTGAGATTCGAAACCCCGCAGAAGGGTCATTTTTTTTCTTTGTTCCACGCTCCTAATAAATGAATAACAGTCATTTACATGTTCCCACATTAAATAAAATCATCAAATCAAACACCGGATGCCTTTCAGCGGACTATAAGGGCTTTTGCATGTTCCCACATTATCGCCATGTTCAGTCAGGTCGTTTCTGTCCGTTGTATTTCAAGGTTAATTTCCCTTTATCCACTTTTAGTTGATAATCAAATTAGTGTTTCACTTGACCACCAATGTAAGATAACAACTTGTTCTTCGTTATTATCTTGTTAAGTTTGACTCAGAACCTTTCTCTAACTCGAATGGATTCGAAACCGTAACATCCCCAATGAACACTACAAGTTACGAAAGGAAAGGGACACCTAATTGATTTACGGCGAAGTCTTGGCTACGATCCTCTACAAAGTACAGGTCGCAAATGGATCTATCAAACTTTTGATATAAGTTATTTATCAAGAATATTTATGAAGAATATAGCGTCACAAAAGTCGCAGTAGTGAGATAACCCGATACGAACAGATGATAGCCCGAGAAGAACAGTTATCAGGATTTGCTATGGAGACAACGGTACCACGAAACTTAGCTTACGCCCGTTAGATATTATCGAGGACCATGGCTGGAAAAACTTTGCCTCCTCCACAAAGAAGACCACGAACCATGCGATACAAACGCAGGAATTCACTGAGGAAAAATAGGTAATGAAAAAAAAAAAATGATTTCAATGTCGTATTTCAATGTATGTCATTTCATTTCATTTGGTTAACAATTATCATTCGACGAGCCTTTTTTTTTTCACTGATGAAAGGTCGGGCCCAAAACTTTTGAAACCATCTTCCAAAACATGGCACCTTTCTGTTCATGTTTACTGAACACTTTGCTAATTAGTGCCACGCAGCTCAAGGGTATCTTTCTTTAAGTCGTTTTTATGAATTCTTTTATTCATTCATATTTTATCTATCTAGTTTTCTTTTCTCAGAATAAAAATCTAATGATCACAGAGTTTGTTTTGAGTAATCAGGACGAAAAAGCAAACATTTACAGCATTTTAACTGGTTTCGAGATTTAAACTTTGCCTGCTGTAAAATCTTGCGGTTTCTCAAAATGTTCTGGAAAACGCTGGTTGGTTGGAATACGGTAATGATCCAAACCGCACAATTTCGATGACCTCGTTCTCTCTCTTCGATTATATATATTTTCAGAGCTTTCAACACTCATTTCATCTTAATTGTTAACTTTCAATGGAATGATCTTGCCTTGTGAAGCAAACTTTATCGAAATATTTATATCGATATTTTATGTAAATAAAAATGATATTTTAACTTGTAGCTTTGCTGTCTCACCTGTCAAACGGGTCCATTTTCTCCAGTAAAGGCAACAGCCTTTCACCAACAAACTGTTTCACGTGTAACTCAAGACAGAGAAGCTGAACGTCATGATGAAGACCAACAAGTTCACGAAGCTCCTGTTACGAAAGAAAAAGGGAAACAAAACGACTATGTAGTTCTTTTAAATGCAGCTTTAACAGAAGTTATTGATGATTAATTTTGGTGAGATTCCAGAGCATTTGGTACTGATGTAAAAACTGAGGACCCACACATTCGCATACAGGATAACAGAAAAAAGAAGAACAACATCACAAAAAATCCAATAAATCAGGCTATTTATAAAATAAAGGGGGTAAGTTTCCAACTCACGCTAACAACGCAGTTGGCTTAAGACGCTGGTAACAGAGAGAACGAGTCTCAGTACCAAAATTCTTGACTCCTTAACATCAGTATGAAATTCTCCATACTACTCCATTTCCTAATCTGACAAGGAGAATTTGTTCAACAATCAAGATTTTGTTCTACAATTAGTTTGGTGATCATCTCCTTTATTCTCATGACTTTAATGTTTGATTCAGTGGTGATGTTGTAAGGAGAAGTTAGATGTTAGTCAGTCTTAGGGGTTAAAGGGTTAAATGGACAGCGGCAAAAATCATCCATCTATTGACTGACTAACGAGGATCTCAATGTACGAGATCCACATTTAAAACTCACTGCCTTGAATGCAACTCTTTCAGTTCACTACTTAAGCATCTACCATGACCATTTTGAAACAACCTTTTTGATTTTCACAGGGACGTGCTTCGTTCGTTTTTTACCTTAACAGAAGAGTAAGTAAAGTCCATTGAGCCACACTGTTGGTCAAGCCCAGCGCATGATTTAGCGCTTACGCAGTGGTGAATATCTTCAGGTATCCAGCGTGAAAGAAGTACACACCCTTTGTTCCACTCTTCCGGGACAATCGAGGTTTCCCGCGGGCGGTCCCGATCAAACATACCACAGTTGCCGCAAGGACAGCATTCGTTTAGTTGCTCTTCAACTGAGAAATAATAACAATAATTTTTAAATTGTTTTAATTCCTTTCGATACTAAAATCTGAAACTCTGGTTCTGTGCCTCAGTCTGTTTCTGGTCGAATACTGATGGCGTTTAGTTATGAGACCGCAATCTTCTGTTGCTTAAAGTTATCATAGAATTTTCTGATGCCTTGCGTCTATTTTGCAAAACATAATAGTGGTATAACCATTGAAAATTTTTTACACCACAGTTTCACCACTAAGGAGTCGAATATCCTCAGTTAGTCTCGCGTGCGACACTTACAAAAGAAAAATAGATCAAATTCCGAGAATACTGATATGGCCACCAAAGCTTATTTGTTTCAGTATACAATATAGCCGCCGTGATGTCAAAGAGGAACGTTCAATGCTCGGCTCCTAGTCTCTTGTAGTTGTATCACTGAGCGCAAAGTACATGTCGAACCCAATCGATAAGTCAATACTCGGAAACTTTATGCTTAAGTATCAGAGGGCATTTTTTCGTTTCAGAAACGACGGTCTTTGTTGAAATCGAAAATTCTTCATACCTGCTGTTATGCATCTTTCAAAATAGCTCAGCCGTGAAGGAAACGCACGTACACACAAGCAACAGAATGTCATTAAAGACGACCTTTGCCGTTTTATCCAAAGGAACCTACTAACGGTCCAGCTCATCATCGAGTTCTCTGCAGCTCCGTGTCAGAGCATTCGATGGTTAAATTCGACGGTACAGAGTTCGATTTTTCGTGGAGGTGAGACACGGAGTCTTTCTTTGTATCACGCTCGTGAAAAAACGAGTATTTACTTTATTTCACTTCAAAACAGTTTAAGTAAGTGAAGTGAGTGCGCCACCTAATAATGTTAAAAATCTGTTACTACACTTCAGGATACTCCGAGCTTCCAGGCAACCATACTTTAATTCTCAGCTCTTTGCAAAAACCCGCTCACTAACATTAAGGACAAGAAACGAGCAGAGCGTTAGTACAGGCATTCCGGTTTAAGCGACGAACAATTTCGTAGTAAGCTTTTTTTCTGCCGGTAATATCGAAAAGCTCCTTATCGTGTGTGAGCAAGCAAGTTACTACTAAAAAAATTCATCTCCTGAAGGACATTTTCATTACTCCTCTCAGCAATTCCATTGCTGTCATTAACACGTAGATGACACGTATACGGGGTGAATTTCACACCAAGTCGCGGTTTTACTTTAGTTCAAATTTCCTCTTTTGATTCTGTGCCGCTGGCGACTTCACAAGTGAGACATGACGTCATTTACGGATAGGGGAATCCCCGAGACTTTTCACAAAATAATTTGCATAAGGAAATGTAAATTCGGAAGTCACGCAATCGTTTGTTTACCGTTCGTTCTCAATCGTATAAGGGAACAGTACAGGTCATTTTCAAGTGACGCATCTTTCGACATTCTTGCCAAAATCTTCAAAGTAGAACTTCTGATAAATAACCCACTGAAAACAACGACCGCTCCTTTTCATTCCTCAAAATTGCTAAGGATCAGTCTTTTGACTACAGGTAAAGTTGTTCAGACTAAAATTAATACAAGACATACAAGTTTGTTTATTTATTTAAAGCGACACGAACTGTAACTTTAAGTTCACAATTCATTTAAACGAAAGGAAGTCAATTGTAAATCAAACAAAAAAAATTACAATGAGATACAAGAAAAACTCCTAATAAAACAAACAATTCACAATCATTTACTCGCGACTGATACTTCAAGTTCTATGTAAGTTAAACGTTACTGATTATGATATAAACGATTCATTCATGCGACCAAAAGGAATCAATCGTAACCTGTTACATACGAGTTAAATCACACAAAAACAGTTTATGGCTTTATTCCGGTACGTTAAAACAGCCTGTAAAATTCCAGAAAATTTGATCACAGCGCTTCCGGTTTCTGTCGAATAAAACAAAAAATATGAAATTACCATTTCTATTCTTAATTCATTATTCATTACACTGCCGAAAGTCATAAAGGTGAGTTGAGTGACGTCAATACTTTGGAAGTGAAATAGTTCAGAATTTGAACGGACGTGACGTCATTACTTTGGCTAGAGCTTAATTTACATTCAAAAATGATTAATTTGTAACCTCTCGTTGAATTACTACATGAATTTGCAAACGGATGTATACGTCATTGTTAGAAACACTAGTTATCTAAGTGCTAGTGAACCGAAAACTTATACATCTCAGAAGTGATTAAAATGTAACTTCTCGTTGTAATATTCATACATCATCCAGCAAACAGGTAATGAGAATACTTAAACTTATCAGATAGAGT